ATATATATATATATATATATATATATATATATATATATATATAATTAATTAATTAATTAATTAATTAATTAGACCTTCCTAATGATTTAATAACTCATTAAGCTACAAGATCATAACTTTCATGTTTTTGGTTTATCTAAAAATAAATGTTACTTCTCCGTTAGATATGATGCTGTAGTTTGGTTTTTGTCTCTATTTGTTTTAACGTTAGCATTTTAATAGGATTCTTTATATCTTGGGGTGCAGTTCCTCCTTATTTTTAGTTTTGAAAAAACACGTTTTCTAATTTAAAAATGAAAGCGTCGCGACCATTTATTTGACGACTAGATTTCATCGCGTGCTCTTGTTTTTTGTGTTTTAGACCCTGACACTAAAAGACTCCTCCAAATACGGCACGTCTGTCAACAACCAGAGAATAACGGCGCCGATTAATCTGACATCAGGGGAGGACGTTACATTTGGGGTTTTTCACAGCAAATTCACGTATGTAGCAAAAAGTACATTTTTTTAAACATGTTTGAGCTGAAATATTGTAACTGTTTTTTAAATTTATTTTGTATCCTCTGTGTGTTTTCTGCCTCAGTGTGTTGCATCAGAAGCCAGTTGTGTGTTCATCATGTTTGGACAATGCTGGGAAGGCGTCGCTCACTCGGGCTCTGTTTGCTCTGGGGGGGAAGTTAGTGAACACCTGGACTCAAGACTGCACTCACCTGGCCATGCCGACAGTTAAAGTTACCATTAAGGTCAGGTTTGCTTTAAGCCCGTTAGCACCTGTGATGTTTTTTTGTTTTTTTTTTCTTACTGCATGTTCATTTTTTGAATCTCTTTTCCTTTTTTATCAGACTATTTCAGCGCTGCTGTGCGGTTGCCCTATTGTGAAGCCCGTTTTCTTCTCAGAGCTCAACAATGCCATTCAGCAAAAATTGCCGCCTCCCAAAGCAGAGAGGTACAGCTCATAATTATTCATGCTAACTGAACCCAACTGGCTGCATTAACTTGTGCTTATTAGCTTGTGCTTCATATTTTTTTTTAGCTTCCTCCCAGAGCTCGATGAGCCCAGCTTGAATAAAGAAGATGTTAACCTTGGAACAATCCCAGCTCGCAAACAGCTTTTCACTAGAAAAACTTTCATTTTCCTCATTGCTAAACAGGTTTGTTATTTATTCTTTTGTGATGATCTCTTATATCATTTCCATGCTGCACAAACTGCTACAAGACAGTGTCATATTGACATGTGGATAAGTATAGTATAGCAAGTCTGCAGTAGTTATTTGCACTCAACATAATGAATCATGAGATACTAACTCTATGCCCTGTCTGTTATACAGAAAGATGGCTGCCACAGGTAATCAACCTTAGTAAACACAAAACTCAAAACTGGCTCCCCAACTCACTCCTTATTACAACTATTAAACTGAAATTTGATGGGATAGAAGTCCATACCATATACACTAACAGATCACACAAGATGTTTGTTTAAAACTCTTGACATGCAAGGCAGCAAGCAATTTGCCACTGTTGAAGAAATACTTGTTTCATTCTCTAAATTAATTATGACAATTATATATTTATTTAGTTTGTTCTCTATGTTTTTAATCTACCGGTATATTACAAAGGCCTCCTGCTATGTGTTTTTGATAATGATGCAAAAGTAGTCATCATTTATACACGAGTCTGCAGCAGCAGCAGTTGATTATTCTCATTGTGCATTACAAAAACAGTAAACCAACCAAAAATGTGCATGTTATGTGCGCAAGGTTCAAGGTGACTTTGTTGTCATTCGTATCACGTGCGGTACATGAGGTGGAACGAAATTGTATACTCAGTGTACCAGTTACACCCAAAAAAATAGCAAAAATATAAACTATAAACAAATAAACAGTATACAAGGATCTAAGATATTTGCTAAACAGTAATAATATAATATAATACAGTGTATTAAACAGCAGCCTGAACATGAGTCTGTTGTGAGCAGATGGGTATGAATGCAGCAGCTTATGGGTAAGAAATCAGCAGCATGGATAAATTGTGAGTCAAAACCAAATATGGTAGATTTAACGCTCAAGTTTAACTGACTGAATATTTATCACATTTCTTCTTGAATCATTTCTAAATTTGTATTTCCTAGTTAAAGCTGGAGTTATAGGAAACTCAACTCTTACAAATTGTCATTCATTTCTCCTGTTTTCTACAGTCTTACATTGATAAAAGTTTAGTATTGTGCACAAACTTTTAAATTAATTTCTTATGAGCTGAGAGAACTGACATCAACTGTTTGATGCAGGTGAAGAATAAACACCTCATATTTTGGGGGCTGTCACGTGTGTTTGACGCCTTGCTTTCTGTTGTAAACCTGCACTCAGATTAACTTTCTGCTCTGCTGTCGGCAGCTGAAGCGCCTGAGTGCAGCAGTGTCTTTCGGAGGTGGAAGTAGCCAGCTGCTGGAGGAGGGCTCCCTTCCTCTTCACCTGCTTGAGTCTCCGAACAGCTGTGTGGTCGATGTTACAACAGGCCGCTCCCAAACTCTGCTTCCTCCCTCGTCCACAGAGTGGATGAACTCTGTGAGGAGCATCCTTCAAAGGTTGAAGCTCTTGTATTCTTGACTAAAAGTCTTTCAGCAGAACTGCTGCTGGTGTAGTGACCGATTTACGAAAGCTTTATATCTTTTTGACCTCTAACACAGAAAAGGCCTTCGAGTCATCACAGAGTCTGAAATCGGTTTGGCTGCCATCCATGCATCATGTGACAAGTTCTGCAATCCGTCCTGTCGGATGGACTCGGGTCAGGGACTGCACAAGAAAGTCACTTTTTAAAATTTTATTCTCTTTCATTTAATTAGTTTTTGTCTTTTTTTGTGTGTTTTAGATTCTGAACCCAAAATAAGACCCAGGATCCCAAGTGCGTCGCTGTCGCAGAGCGTGGCTGTGGATGAAACTGTGTTACCTGCAGCATCTCAGAACGTTACAGCGTATGCAGTCAACACAGAGACAACACAAAGGTACCGACGGTCACCTGCTCACTCTCATGCACGGTGTTATAACGTTGTCGGGACTTTACGTTTGTTTCGTGTTTTTGTCGTCAGGATGGAGGTTTCTGAGGAGACTGGTTTGGTAGCTGTAGGAGAGACTCCTGAGAAGAAGCAAAACCAGGACACAGCTCAGTTCAGTGGATCCAGACTCACAGCTCACACAACTAGTGTGGTGGCTGACACAGTGAGCTCATCATTAAACGCTGCAGACAACAGAGACTCACAGAGGAACAAACCTGACTCTAAAGTATCAGGTAACTTCACGAACAAGATAAAAGATTATCGTTTCCACAGATTTAAACTCTTTTCTCCCTCAATTCAAAATCACTGCCTGCATCATGGGATAGTATTGCCTCATGAAACAAGCCTAAACAATTTACACAGTTTAAAAAAAAAAAAACTAATTAGTTATTTTGTATTTCATTACTTGATCATATTGGTAAAATGACTGCTGAAGCATGTGTTATTTTAAAATCTCTTTTTGTACCTTGTTTAAAGAAATATAATGTTTTCTTAAATGTATAAGTTCATTTTGTCCCACTTCATGCATTAAAGGTTCTGTGTATGATTTTAGAAAACTGCAGGATATCAGGCTAAAACTGAAAGTGGACCGTAACCTGGAGTCTACACAACCGTTTAGAAAGTTTTTCACATAAGCCCGCCTCCACAAACCAGCTGCCTCAACGCAGAACTCAGAAAATATTCCACTAGAGTTGTTGTTGGTCTATTAAGACTTAAAGTATTGTGCTGGGACATTAAATTGAGCTCAAATCTGTGCTGATACTGTTCGAATGTATTGATTTCATTCATTATGATGTACTGATTCATTGTTTTAAAGAGCGATTTAAAATTTTGATGCATCGTATTTTCCGGTGTATAAGTCGCTTCGGTGTATAAGTCGCATTTATTATGCATCACTGCTGACCCATCATGTTTATTATGCATTTATTTAATGGTCAAAACAGCTTCATTTCGCCTGGGTGGCACAGCGCCATCCGTCCATCCATCGCGTCCGGAGCCGCTAGCTCTCTAGCGTTTCTCCTCCTGCGCCTGCTGAGTGAAGCGAGTGGCACGAGAGGACTTGCTGTTGCAGTTCTTTGAAATTTAAAGCGTCAGTCAAAAATTGTGTTATGAATATGAAAAAAAAAATGTATAGAAGTCACTTCAGCATATAAGTTGCAGAACTGACAAATCTATGCAAAAAAAAAAGCTACTTATACGCAGGAAAATACGGTATCTTAGTTTTTACAGCGTTAAAATACTTTAAACTCATCCATTAACTGTAATAAACAGCATTCATGTCTCTTTTTTTAATCAAACGTGTATTTTGAAGCATCACATTAAAAATGTTTATTGAAATTGAAATATTTTCAAATATTCAATGTTTCTAAAAACATTACACAAAATGTTGTCCTTTTCTCCTTTTTTATTTCATACTTTTGTTACAAGCAGCTTGCTTGTGTTTCAGGTGGAGGCCGTGCTGATGTTAGTGCCCAGAAATCTGCTTCAAAGTCCGGTGGTGGCATCCGAAAATTTGACAAACACTCTCCTCAGAATCCAAAACCGTCTGTGCAGACTTCCCCACAGAAACAGACAACTCTGACCAATTTCTTTCAGTCTGTCAACAAGAAAAGGTAACCATACGATTATTAAACAGTAGTTTTATTTTACTTCTGTTTCACAGAAATATCACCTTTGCCTAGTTAGAATGAATTTACTCTGTAGACCCAGGCATAGATTTATCTGGTCAGACAAATTATCTCAAGATCTGATATTAAATTCTACATTTGGTGCTTGATAAATTCAAGTGTTATTCACTTTTCAGTGTTCACAGCTTTTTCTGAGACAAATTGTGAAAGATTTGAAATAAAAACAATACTTTATTTCTAATTTATTCTGAAGTTGGAGTCTCTGTTTGTCATAAAACATAAAGTGGGATCTTGGGATGATTTCTAGAAACAAAATACAATATAAAGATGAAGGCTAAAAATATTTTTATTTTATTTTATATCTGTTGTAAATTAAACTATCATTCCTTAAATGAATTTATGCCGTCTGTTGCTTTGTGTGGCAGAGTTTTAAATAAAGCTCTGGAGCTCAGAGTGTATTTTGAAGATGACACAACTAATTTTAGCTCAGTATTTGCAAAACTGACTCAGAGGATTTTATGTTTGCTAAGGTTGCTTAGCTGTTAAGCACATTAAATGTAATGAAATGATTACCGGTACTTTCTGAGCATCAGTGATTTATGGGTTGTTTTTTTCCTAACAGTCAAACATAAGATTAGATTATCTCATGCCTCATGTGGCAGAAGGTGATAAATATAAAATACAGTTGTCATAAATGGATCAGAGTAAAGATCTGTTGATTTCCATCTGCATCTTCTACCGCCTGTCTGTGGTCAGGTCGTGAAGCCAACAGGACCAGGAGTGAAACCCAGACATTATTCTCCCCAGAGACACTTTTTCAGCTCGTTCTGGGAGACCCTGAGGTGTTCCCAGGCCAGAGAAGAAACATAATCCCTCCAGCGTTTTCTGGGTCTTCCCCGGGGCCTCCTACCTGTAGGACATGCCGGGAAAACCTCTAAAGGCAGGCGTCCAGCAAGCATTCTGATCAGATGCCTGAGCTACCTCATCTGACCCCTTTGGATGCGGAGGAGCTGCAGCTCCACTCTGAGCTCCCCCCGGATGACAGAGCTCCTCACCCCATCCCTAAGGCTGAGCCTGGCCACCCTGCAAAGGAAGCTCATTTTGGTCGCTTGTATCAGAGATTTTGTTCCTTCGGTCATGACACAGATCTCGTGAACATAGGTGAGCGTCGGTACGTAGACAGACCATTAAATCAAGAGCTTTGCCTTTCGACTCGGCTCTTTCTTCGCCACACCTTACCGAAGCAACACCATCATTACTTAGGAAAAGGCCCCAATCCCTTGATCCACCTCCCTCCCACTCCATCTTACCATCTCTCATGAACAAGACACCCTAATACTTGAACTCCATCTGAGGCAAAGTCTCTTCCCCCTGAGCTGGAGGGATCATTCCACCAGTTTGTGGTTGACAACCAGGGCCTCAGACATAAAGGAACTGACTGTCATTCCAGCCGCTTCACACTCGACTGTGAACCGCCCCAGTGTACGATGAAGGTCTTTGCCTGAAGACGCCAACAGAACCACATCATCCACATACAGCAGAGATGAGACTCTGAGGTTCCCAAACCAGACACCCTTCTCGCCATGACTGCGCTTTGAGATCCTGTCCATCAACACCACAAATGGTGCTTCACCACTGTCTCAACTCTCATCGGTTCTGCACCACACCGCACCAGTTAAGGCCATACCCACTGCCAGTACCCACCCCTATTCAGCCCGATTTATGGGACCACTTTGTTCGTGGTTCCAAGTGGATCGCACCGAGGTGACGATTTTGACATAAGCAGATAGCAGTCGTTGAACAGCCTGATAGCTGATAAGTTTAGGAGCCACTGCTCCAAACTACATTTGAACTGGAATAAACCTGGAGCAATTGAAGATGTGCCTCTGTGTTTGTATTGTGAGTCAGTTAATGGATCTCTAACAGTTTATGCGTCAAATAATTAAAATATCCTTCTGTTTCTGTTCTTAAAGGCTGTAAATCTTGTTGGTTCTTTGGAAAAGTTGGAATATTTTGTCTGATAAATGTGAAAAGATCCTGATTTTGCTTTTCTTGGCCCAGAACAGAATATAAAGTTTGACATTTAAATGTTTAAGGTGCATATTCTTATTTTATATTATAATCAAGCTTCAAATCTTGAACATAATTCTTGTATTAAAGATGGTATAGTACGCAATGGACTTGTGGTATGAAAATGTATTGTACACTTGAATTTCTATCTTCACAGTATTAGATGGTATTAAAACTTTTAAAAACAGGATTTTAATTTTAAATTTAATAGTGTGTGATGTGCTTTTCTCTCTTTATGTTTTGTGTTTAAGACCTTTGGACGATGATCTCTCAGCGGTGATGTCTGAGCCAAAGCGAGCTGTACCAGAGTCATTCATCACTACGCAGGATTTAAACACCTCATCAGTCCCTAAACAAATGCCCTCACTCACTCTCAGGAGCCCTCCAGCTGTGTCTGAGACTCCTCTCGACTCGCCTGCTGATTTGTTTCAGTCAGAAGTTCGTCCGGAGAAACCACAGAGTCGCAAAAGGAAGGAGGTGGAAGAAGACATACAGATGGAGGAACTGGAGTCCATTATGTCCATGGATATAGATGGCTTTGACGACATTCTGCCCAGTAATCAAAGCCAGCAGGAGCAGGTAAAGGTGCACTCTTTGGCTAAACCGAACCTTGGTACTGTTGAGTCTTCAAGCAAGAGGCAGCGGATCAGTCAGAGAGAAAATGGAACAAGCAGACAAAACCCCGAAGTGGACCTGAAAAACAAATCAAACTTCCAACAGGACACGAAGGAACAGTCTGAGCAGCGTAAAGTGTCAGTTAAAACCGAGCCCCTTCAGGTAACAGAAAACCTGAGAAATAAACACGAGTCTAGTAAACCAGGAACGAGTAAAAACACAAAGCCGTTTGAAGACGAAGCATCTTTTATTGAGGTGAGGACAGGCGTTCTCTCTCTGCTTCAGGATACTTTAGTGTGTACAAAAATATATATATTTTAATCCAATCAGGCTTCAAGTTTAATGTTGTTTTTAAACCTTTTTTTTTTTTGTCTCGCAGGATGAAGAACTCCTCCAGGTACCGATAGATATTCATCCAGAAGATGAGACCGAAGTATCTGTCAAACCTGTTGTGATCAAGCAGGAGGTTCAAGTAAGTCCTGCGGAAAACTTTTGTCTTTTGTATCTGTTCTTCTCCAAACCTCAAAGGGCAGAAGTGCTGGTGCTGATTGTTAAAGGGTTTGAAACTCAACTCAGTTTTCTGTTTTCACTCTGTGTCAGAAGGACAGGAGCCAGAAATAAGTCTGTCTTGCATGCCAAGGTTTTAAACAAAGGCCTCACGTGATCTGTTAGCAGAAGTACAGTAGTCCCTCGTTTATCACAGGTGATCCGTACCCTGAAGACCCGCGACAAGTGCAAAACCGTGAAGTAGGAATAGTAGTACAAGTAGTAAGTAGTTTATTTTAGTATATACAGTGCCTTGCGAAAGTATTCGGCCTCCTTGAACTTTTCAACCTTTTGCCACATTTCAGGCTTCAAAAACATAAAGATATAACATTTTAATTTTTTGTGAAGAATCAACAACAAGTGGGACACAATTGTGAAGTGGAATGAAATTTATTGGATGTGTCAAACTTTTTTAACAAATAAACTGAAAAGTGGGGCATGCATTATTATTCGGCCCCCTTGCGTTAATACTTTGTAGTGCCGCCTTTTGCTGCAGTTCCAGCTGCAAGTCTCTTGGGGTATGTCTCAGTTTTGCACATGGAGACACTGAAATTCTTGCCCATTCTTCTTTGCAAAACAGCTCGAGCTCAGTGAGGTTGGATGGAGAGCGTTTGTGAACAGCAGTCTTCAGCTCTTTCCACAGATTCTCGATTGGATTCAGGTCTGGACTTTGACTTGGCCATTCCAACACCTGGATATGTTTATTTGTGAACCATTCCATTGTAGATTTGACTTTATGTTTTGAATCATTGTCTTGTTGGAAGATAAATCTCCGTCCCAGTCTCAGGTCTCTTGCAGACTCAAACAGGTTTTCTTCCAGAATGCTCCTGTATTTGGCCCCATCCATCTTCCCATCAATTCTGACCATCTTCCCTGTCCCTGCTGACGAAAAGCAGGCCCAAACCATGATGCTGCCACCACCATGTTTGACAGTGGGGATGGTGTGTTCAGGGTGATGAGCTGTGTTGCTTTTACGCCAAACATATCGTTTTGCATTGTGGCCAAACAGTTGGATTTTGGTTTCATGTGACCAGAGCACCTTCTTCCACATGTTTGGTGTGTCTCCCAGGTGCTTGTGTCAAACTTTAAAAAACACTTTTTATGGATATCTTTGAGAAATGGCTTTCTTCTTGCCACTCTTCCATAAAGACCAGATTTGTGCAGTGTATGACTGATTGTTGTCCTATGGACAGACTCTCCCACCTCAGCTGTAGATCTCTGCAGTTCATCAGAGTGATCATGGACCTCTTGGCTGCATCTCTGATCAGTCTTCTCCTTGTTCCAGATGAAAGTTTAGAGGGACGGCCGGGTCTTGGTAGATTTGCAGTGGTCTGATACTCCTTCCATTTCAATATGATTGCTTGCACAGTGCTCCTTGGGATGTTTAAAGCTTGGGAAATCTTT